TCAGGCATTGCCTCCTCTCACGTGACTTTCCCCCATTCATTCTCAATTACCCTCCAGCAAACTCACGGCACGCTTTAGGGGGTCTGTTAAAACTCAATGGGCTCAGGGGAGGCGAGAGAGACGCAGACTCCCGCTGTAAGTTTACCTGCTGGTGTCGCTGTTGGACAGTGATTTATACACTTTTTAATGTTATATTTTGTAATATTGGTGTTGTTTTATTTTTCTACTACAAATTTTTTTCTCATCCAATATTTTGAGGAGACACTGCCTCCCTTGCCTCCTCAGAGGAAACGCCCCTGAGGACACATGGTTTTAAGTTTCAAGGGCCTCATTAATTTATTCACTGTTAGGATTTAAACACATAAGAAGATATTTTGAAGAATGCTGGTAACCAAATAGTTGCTGATAGCCATTGACTTCAGTAGTATGGAAAAATTACAACGGAAGTCAATGGAAAGAAAGAAATGAAAGAAATTCATACAGGTTTAGAACCACATGAGGGTTTGTAAATGATGACAAAATCTAGCCCTTTAAAAAACACTGCAGCACACATTGAAAATGCATGTTGTTCATGTGAGAACATTGTCATATAACGGACGTTTTCATGTTGTTTTATTTATTTCACAGTCATTGGGTCCTGAGGATGAACCAGCCTCTTCATCCGTGTCAGTTAACACTGAAAATGACAACTCAAGCCAAAATACTGAGATTAGCAGTAAGGACACTTCACAGAAGGCCGGCCAGGTGAAGCAACTGTGCCGCTTCTACTCTCAGGGCAGGCAATGCTATTATGGGAAAAAATGCCGCTTTCTTCATCAAAGAGCTGCGAGTGCACAGAAGGACGGAGAGAATGGTACAGCTCACAATGAGAAAGAAGGAAATTTGGATGGTCACACATCAGACCCACAGAAGCAGTCGAGTGAAAACGGACGCTCTGGTACAGTGGAGCATCTGCCTCCACCCAGCCACAAAACTGTTCCTGTGAAGCAAGAGAGAGCCAGGCGACCCTGCCGCTACTTCCTGTCTGGGTTTTGTGCAATGGAGGACCGGTGTCGCTTCTTGCATCCACAGCCATTTTCGCCCATGGAGAACCAGCCTCACGGCCCGAAAAAGAGAAGCAGCTTCAGGCCTTCTGCTCCGGCCACACGGCCAGCTAAAAGTCAAGAGCAGGTCAAACTGGCTGATCTCACTGACGAGGTCTGCAAGCAGCTGAGAGCCACTGAGATCGCTCAGCTCACGAAGAGATTTCCAAAAGACAAACTCATTGTGCAGGAACGAGAAGATGGACAGCTGACCTACTACAGAGTCACTGTTCAAGCCACGGACCCCGACTGGGTAAACACTTATTATATGGACCAGGGGTGTCCAAACCTGTACCTGGAGTGCCACTGTCTTGCAGAGCTTATCTCAAACCCTAATTAAACACACCAAGCAAATCAAGGTCTTCTCGCTAGAAACCTTCAGGCAGTGTGTTGGAGATGGTTGGAGCTAAACCGTACAAGACACTGGCCCTCCAAGATTGGACACCCCTGGTATAGACCACAGAGTGGAAGTTAATAGGAATTAGGGAGCACTGACATGTTTGCCAGTCCTTAATATCAGTATCGTACAGCTGATTGATCAAAACTAAATGAAAGAAGATCAAGAATGGATTACTTTCGTGTAATGCTTGTTTGCATAACTCAGAGGTCTCTAAACTCGGATCTGGAGGGCCGGTGTCCTGCAGAGTTTAGCTCCAACTTGCCTCAACACACCTGCTTGGACGTTTCAAATATATTTAGTAAGAGCTTAATTAGCTGGTTTAGGTGTGTTTAATTAGGGTTGGAGCTAAACTCTGCAGGACACCGGCCCTCCAGGACCGAGTTTAGTGACCCCTGGCATAACTTATTCAAATGCACTGAATATTAAAGTCTGAATGAGTAGATCAAAGAAGATGTTTTATGTACCGTAATCGTTTTTAAAGATTTTCAGTTGTTATCACTGAAAATGTTAGTTTTCAGATTTGCCATCACAGAAAAAAATACATTTTGAAATATATTTACATATAAAACAGTTATTTTAAATTGTAATGATATTTTGAAATATTACAGTTTTTACTGTATTTTTGATCAAATAAATGCAACCTAAATGCAATCATTCCAAAATATATTTTTAAAAAAATTTATTATTCCAAACTTTTGCTGGCAAGCTAGATACAGTTATGCTGAATTCATATACTGAGAAAGCTATACTGATAATGTCAGTTATTATTTACTTTTCTTTTACTTTGAATTTTGTACCACTTTACGTATGTGAAACAAAAGAGCTTCTTGTGCATTTTCATAATCAGCAGTTGCAAGCGAGTTACTACATATATACATTTATAGATCACAAATAGATGACTTATAGTTACATGTACAGATACAATTTAATGCAAAGCATATCTAATGAAAAGTTTTGACATGAACTACAGTAGTTTCATAGACAGCAATATTTTTTCTATTTTGCAGCCATTTGACCTTAATGAAGTGGACGTCATGGTCAGCTTTCCTGAGCGTTACCCTCAAGAGGTGTGCATGTTTGAAATGTTTCAAAATTTGATGTTAAAACATACAGTATGCTATGTTTTTGCTAATGAAAGCTACCGTATCATAGGTTTTCACTGTGGATGTCCCTGAAGACCAGGAATTACCATCAGTCATGGGGAGGTGAGAAGAACCGTTGCTGGTTATACACATCATGCAAATGTCAACTGAAATCAGTAAGTGTATTTATTTTATGCTGTGTGAATGCAGACATGTGCAGAAGGCCTCAGAGGAATGGCTAAAGGCTAAACATGCCACTAATCAGCTGATGGGGAGAGTCGAGCTGCTCTTCAGGCCGTACTTGCGCTGGCTGGACCGTAGTATGGAGAAACTCTTTACTGAGGGAGCCAGGCAGGTGAGACTCGCACTTACCTGAAAATATACATCAGCCAATCAGATTAGAGCTTGTCCAATCGAGAAAGTCTTCCAAGATTTGTGTACAATATGCATCAGATGGGCAGTGAACGGACTAGATGTGGTGTTAATTACTTTCGAATCTCTCTTCTCAGTTGAAAAAAGATGTTGACCTAGAGAGGGCTGGAATACAGTTTGTCCCCTATGAGCAACTCAAGGTCACTGTTTTTAAGAACACATCCAAGAAATCGGACACTCCTGAGCGTATAGTGTCACTCACTGTGGCTTCAGGGGAGGAGGTGGAGGAGGAAGAGCTTGATGAAGCTGGAGTAGAGAAGGAGGATGAGGATGAGACTGCTCTCGGTAGTGATGGGGAGGAAGGCAGCCAAAATGTGGAGAACATAAAAACAAGAGAGCGAAGGAGAGGCACTGAAATCAAACTGCTGGGTCTGAGACTGGGAGAACAAATAGCTACTGTGGCGGCCAAACAGATCTCAGTGTCTCTGAAGTGCAACAGGTGAATTTCAGTCCTGCTTTCAAACCAAGCTAAAACACTTCATTATGATTATTAATCAGAGATTAGAACTCTGGTATTTTTTTTATACCTGGTATTTACATCCATCTCCAATGATCCTATCACAAGTAGTGAAGACAGATTGCTGTTTTAAGGCGCGTTTACACCAAAGACGATAACTATAACTATGAGGTTTAAATTCTATAAAAATAGAGAAGTCCACACCACAACTATAAAAGCACAAAAGAACGATATCATTGGAATCACTTTCACAAAGTTTTTTTTCCAGCTAATGAACAATAAAAACACTGACAGTCAGAATCCACCTGGCTTTAAAGAGCTTGAGCAGTTAAAGCAGCAGACCACATAACTGCAGTGTGCGCTTATAATAAACAGAATGTTATTGAAAGTCTTGAGGATTTGCTGGAGTCGACTTTACAGAGTGGTTCGACTTTCCCATTGTCAAAACAAGATCTCAGCCGAAAATTAATGTAACTCTTGATGGAAATAAATGCTGTGATTTGTCGAAACAATGCCACAACGCATGCACAATAGAGTGTGCAACTTTTTTTTGGACAAGCAGTGTAAAGTCGACTCCAACACATCCCAAAGACTGGGCTGTTTTCTCACTATCTCCAAATTTCATTTAAAAGATTGGATCACAGATCATTTTTTAAATGTTTCTAAATGCACCTGTATTTAGAGCTATGGATTTATGATCGGAAGTTTGATGTCAATACCTGGTACAAACGTAGTCTTTTATTTCTTTAGATGACTGATTTATCACAAAATGCCCTCAGTCAAAAGTGCAAAGTATCCATGTGCCCTTCCTTGTAGGTGTAAAGTGGATTCTGACCTGACCCTGACCGGGCGTCTGACCTGTACTGCTCAGTGTGAGAAATGTCAAGCAGGGATCAGGGCTGCCTTCAGACCCAGTATGCTGCACCACTACAGTGATGTTTTGGGCTATCTGGACCTTAATGCAGTTGTGCCTGTAGATCTGGTACTGAAGGACTCTGTGTTCACTGTGGGTTGCCTTAACTGCAACAAGGAAGACACAATTCAGGTTTGACGAAGATTCACTAGAGATCACAATTGACATATTGCATTATTATTACTTCATATATATATATATATATATATATATATATATTTATGTCACTTACATCAAATGTCATTGGTACTTATGCCTCTGTGCTCATATGTTTAGGTGCCAATTAATGAGACCAACACGCAGTTTGTGGAGCAGACCATCGCCATCATGAAGAACCTTCTTGACAACCATACGGAAGGAAGCTCAGAGCATCTGGGTCAAGCCAGCATTGAGACCATGATGCTTAACCTGGTTTAATTTCATGAAGTGTGCGATTAATCGCGATTAATCACAGAAAAGGGGTGTGATTAAAGGCACAATATGTAAGATTTTTTTATTAAAATATCCAAAAACCACTAGAACAGTGTTATATATTTTGCTGACTTGTGTACTTACATTATCCCAAATGTTTCGAAGAATGTTTAAATCCAGAGAAATAAGAAATTTTAATGAGTGACACGGAGCGTGTCCATAGTGTCATTGTGTCGCCTGCCAATGACGTCATGACCCCTCGATTTTCCGGAAAACACCAAAGATGCTTTAATATGTTGTGCGTTTTATTAGACCGCACAGAGAAGCATTATAACAGAACTTTCAAATGTATCTAGTATGGTAAAACAGCGCTGCTTTACCCCACATACGCACGACCGGAAGGAGCGGAAGCGGTCGACTGTGGCATAATAAAAGCTCCGCTGCATTCAAGCCATGTGTCGCGCTCATTCAGCGGCCTCGTTTCGCTTCGACAGCTTTCAGCCTCACCCTGCTTCATTCTACTACGTTAATAAATCATTAGCTTAGTCCACAAGTTAAAGTCAAATGCATTTTTTTTAAAATTAGATTTATTTAGTTGTACCAAAGCAGGAAGATCAATGGAAATTGTTATTTTGTCTTCTGCACAGAAGAAGGTCCTTGTTAGGTTTTTGATAATAGTTACATTTAACATCTATGTAAAGTTTCAGTTTTTTATTTATTTATTCTAACTCTACTGTTACATACTGTATGTTGCAACATGTCATAAATTTTATTTGATCAATACCTTACGTACACTGTCACATCTAACCTTAAACTAATAGTTGTTGACAAACCTAGAATATGGTCGGTTTTTTTTTTTTGCACATGTAAACTATTGGTGACCCATGTGTTCTAAACGAATTTGGTTATGACCTGATCATGGGTTTTACGTCTCTGAACTGTATATGAACTTATTATTTATTATTATTAATTATGTTGTTTTTCTATACAGGAACGACCGGCAAAAATACGCCAATACATGTAAAACAGTGGCAAAGAAAAAGACTAAAGACTAAAAAGTAACTAAAGATACCAGAGGACCTTATTTTCAGCCAATCAGATGATACATGGCTAGGTACCTAACCATGTTTGTCATCAAATCACATTTTTAGATTTTCTTTTCAGATGATTTCACAAAATTCTTTTCTTGCAGTGTACAGTACATTGAATTTGAAATAAAATACATTTGACATACATAAAATAGATTTTTCATATATTCAGCATAACATGTAAACTGTTCCCACTTTCTATACATCTCCTCTCTTTTTATTTGCTAGTAGAAAAAAAAACATACATATTGTATGTGAATAAATGCTTTTACATCTTTGTAGCAGATCTAGACAGGTGGAGCTGGGGGAAGCGGAGGGTTTCAGAGGACCTCTGATAGCACGCTGTAGGACCAGCTTAGAGCAAACACTGAACCAGACTCTTTACTGTAAATGTTAAGCAAGAGTTTACATATAGTCCACAAGTTAAAGTCAAATGCATTTTTTTTTAAATTAGATTTATTTAGTTGTACCAAAGCAGGAAGATCAGGGCAAGTGAGGCCTGCAGTTCTTTGGATGTTGTTGTGGGGTTTTTTCTGACCTCTTGGATGAGTCGTCGCTGTGCTATTGGGGTAATTTTGGTTGGCCGGCCACTCCTGGGAAGGTAATAAATCAGGAAGGGGGCCAACACTTTTTCACACCACTGTATGTTGCTATATTCACCATGCAAACAAGTCTGAGAAGTCATGACAGAAGCTATTGGAGTGCATGCTTTCTTCAAATTAAATTATACGATTATAATTTTGCACATAAACAGCTGGCCTGACTCCCGAACAGAAGAATCAATATGGCTCTCCAAACGTTTACATTTGCCCAGAGGCATAAACAAAAGACTTGCATGAAAAACACTAATAGTCAGCATCTCATTGAGTTTTATGGTTCATTTCATTAGCCTGTTCACGTCTGAAGCATGAAAACATCTGTATGTACGCATTGATGACTTCAATCAAACCTTATGCTCATTTCAAGGTCTGTGAACCACTGAAGACAAACATCCAGACTACAGCTGAACGCTTCCCAGCCTATTCCCTGTTACTGAGGAAAATGAGGGGGGAAAAAAGAACAATCTCTCTCTCTAAAAAAAAAAGGCACTAATGTGACCGGTCAAGGTGTTTGAGTAAAGTTGGATTCACACACATCAATAAATATAGAAAGACATTAAAAGAGTTCAAATTTTATTGCACTCAAAACATTGTTAAAATGCTTGAAACTTGAAAACAATAAATATGACCTTAAGAATTACAAAAAAGAAAAAGAAAAACCTGTTAGTGCATGCTCTTATTAAGATACTGCACAAACATATTGGCAATCTGTCCAATGTTCTCTGTCGGATGCATCTTGGTGTAACTGATGAACTGACGTCTGAGTTTCCTCAACTCCACCATGTTAAGACTTCTTGTGAGTTCAATGTATTGAAGAAGTTAAGAAAACTGGGCTGGTACAATAATGTACATAAGTATTTGTGGTAAAAGTACCACAAAAATATTAATCCGCACAACTATTTTTAACTGTGGTAATAAGAAATGTTTCTCAAGCACCAAATCAGTATATCAGAATGTATTCTGAAGGATCATGTGACACTGAAGTAATGGCTGCTGAACATTCAGCTTTGCCATCACCAGTGCTGGATAGATTACTTACAACTTGTAGTTCATTACTGATTACAGTTTCCATGTCGAAAATTATAGTTAGCAATGTAATTTATGGGATTACACATATTAGGTAATGTATTCTGACTAATCTTTATTTCTGTAATATATTCCATTGTTTGTTATCAACATCATGAAATGTATTAAACATTACATTATGCCAGGGTTTCCCAAACTGGGGTTCATGAGTTGATGAAATGCTAATAATTAATTAAATTATGAGCATTTTATTAATATGTAATATAATCTAATTACAAGTATTTAATTTTTGGAATCTAATTACATAATCCTGAATACATGTAATCAGTTACTACTCAGCACTGGCCATCAAAGAACAAAATTACATTTAAAAAAATATTGAAAAAAAAAAAGTTATTAAACATTTCACAATATCACTGTTTTACTGTATTTTTGGTCAATTAAATGCAGCCTTGGTGAGCATAATAGACATCAATAACAAAAAATCTCACTAACCACTTCCTAAACTTTTGAGTGGTAGCGTATGCTGGAAACCTAGCTGCAAGACAACAAAGAACGAGTATAAATAAATTTCTAATAATATCCCATATGAATGATGTATTATTTCAAAGGGCCACCTGCACTGGTCCATCTCTCTACGTGTCTAAATGCTAAAGCAGTTACGGACGGCCACCAAACTGCAATTGCATCAGAAAGAAATGACATTCTTTGATGTTTGTGTATTCATTACATTCATATAGGTCCAACTTATTACTACAACACATCTTCAATTAACATTAAACGGATCAACTTTCTGTCAGGAAGTTGCAGTCGAGCTTATTAAAGTTCCAGACTTGATCCTGGTTTCATGTTGTAAGCCTTTCTAAAGCTTTGCCTGTGTATAGCAGGGCATTTCTGTGTTGTCACAGTGAAAAATATCAAATAGCTATGACGGGTGGCTTAGCAAAAGCAAGACAACAATTTTACATTTCCTCCCACAAAAAAAAGAAAGAAAACGAAAGTAATTCAAAGCTAAAGATATGCTAAACATGCAAGAATAAAGGATATCTTTTCCGTGGCTCCAGGAATGGAAACGAGATCTCCAGGGACGCTGGTCTTCTGTGACTCAAGAACAGCCTGAGACATAAAACAACCCATATGACGACACATACTATTGATACTAATGGTCTTGCTATGCAAATGCAAACTATAAACGCTCACCTGTCGGCAATGAAACAGAAAGAATGACTTTGAATGCTTTCTATTTTTATAACAGAACACCTAAAGGTGATGGAAATCGTACCATTAGGACATCTTGAGTAACTTTGTCCAATTCGTACAGAAAGTTTGTGGATGAGAGCGGTTGCTGTAAAAGGCAAAGAGAAACAGGTTCTAATATCCATTCAAGGGCAATAAAAAGTACATAATGCTGCCATATACTCATCCATAATGCATTCCTAGCACTCTTACGCTCTGCGTGGACTGATTAGGTGGTGGTGCTTTTCTTTTGAAAAGTGCATCGCAGATGGCTTCAAATGGAAGCGAGTCCTCTTGCTGAAAAGTAAAGAGTGGACTATCCCATCTATTCCTTGAATCAGGGGCTTCAAAACGCAGTACTAGCGCATCAAGACTGTTGTTTAAAAGACCAGAAGACATTGTTAAATTTAGATAATATATTCAGAATCTTTATTTGATAATGTTAACTTTTTGAAAACACACTACCATTCAAAAGTTTCGAGGCCAGTAAGATTTTTTAATTTTGTCTCTTACACTCAAACAAGGCTGCATGTATTAATTAAAAAGCAGTAAAAACCGTTGTGAATTTTTCACATATTGTGAAATATTACAATTCAAAATAACTTTTCTATTGTAATATATTTAAAAAATAAATAAATAAAAGATTCTGTAATGGATAAGATCAGTTTTCAGCAGCCGATTTGGTGAGATTTGATCAAGAAACATTTATTATTATCAATTTTGAAAACAGCTGTGTTGCCTTTTTTTTCTTTTAAACAATAATACGTTCATTGAACAGCATTCATTTAAAATAGAAATCTTTTGTAACATACCAGACGCTTTTGATTCATTTAACGTAACTTTGCTAAATAAAAGTATTACTTTCTTAAAAAAAAAAAAAATCTTACTGAACCTAAATGTTTGAACGATAAATGTACATCTGAAACACACAATTAGAGGAATAGTTAACCAAAAAGGAAATTTGCTAAAAATTTGCAGTGAATGAGTGCCATCAGAATGAGAGTTCCAGCAGTCGTGGCCTAATGGTTAAGAGATTCGGACTTGTAACCCAAAGATC